TTTTCTACAATTTTATTATATGTATAGATAAAGCAGTTTGTTTGTGACATGTTAAATACATAATATTTTTTTATTACTAAAATAATAATTTGTGTAGAATTCGACTTTTCTGAAACCTTATTCTTGATATAGAAAACTTTCTATATTTCTATTATATTCTCGTGTATAGTGTATGTGTTAGTAAAAGAAGCAACAGTCTGCAATTCTTCAGTACACTTGGCGGCCACTAATCATTCCTTGTTACAAAAACTTCTGATAGAAGGTACCAAATCTGATAAGATTGTCACTATATTAGAATAATTATATTCTATGATAGAAATAGGACAGTTTTGTAAATAATTCGTGCTAAATAATTCAATAGTATTAACGTTTTTCAATGAGAAACGGGAGACTTGTACGTAGTATGGCCATCAAAACTAATTATTGTTTACTAGTCAATTAAATAATACACGTTTGTCTAACTATAGTTCCTAGAATGTACAATGAGATAGACAATTATTATTAAATGCAGATATAATATCTCTTCTTCTACCTGGCAATTTCCCAACTTGAGCCAGGTTCTGCCTTATATGTAGTGAATAGTTTTGGCTAATTGTTTTTACGATCGGCCGCCTGCCTGACATCAACTTTCTTTGGGAATAATATATATATGAGTGGATGTTTGTTAATGCGTTCAAAAATATTTTAAAGTATCGGTACAAAGGTTACTGGGATATTTCCGTGGTAATTGAGATGAAAGGCCTTAGGCGAGGTGTCGCCGCCACGCAGCAGTCGATAACGACTAGGGATGGGGGAGTATAAGTATCGATATCGATAATATATAAATATTACGATTGAAATAACATTACTACATTATTATGTGAGAAGAAGCTTCTCAGCAGTGGGCTCTGATAGGCTGATGATGGTGATTATTTCAATAATAGAGAATGGATTCGTAATATAATTATCATACTGTAGATAGTTACAAGTCAACAAAATAATGTAGTATTTTTTGTTCATACTTTACTATTCTTATAATATTGTTTACTGAAAAAAATGAATTGGAAAAAGTAAATATTTACCATATATTAATTTACATTTAAATAAAAAATATGTAATATTTAAGGTTGGTATTTATATTTACCGTGTGTATATTTTCCCAGCTCTAGTTTTGCACTAGAGAGCTGTCGGGTGCAGACCCGCACACTACGATAAAACTTTTATTTATTCTGTCACACACAGAACTCTTGTTTGATGTCTTATATATGATGTATATAATGAAACATATATATAACACATACATACATACATACATATATATTATACGTCGCTTTGAAAAGTAATATAATGTTAAATCATTTAATAAACATAGTTATTTTTCAATACACTTTCGTTTCCAATATAAGTGAAAAAAACGAGAATTTAAATACACTTTATATTATAAAAAATAATGTATAATTAACTCAAGAAATTAAATTAATTTAAATATTAATAATATATACAACTTACTCTAACTCTTTATTGAAGTTGTTGATTACTTTCTGGATCTAGGAAGAAGTGACATTGACGAATTTTGCTTAAAGACATCCAAATCTTTGATTGTATTCACTTAAAAACAAACTATAGCTTATTATTTAGATAAAAATTTAGAAAATAGCTGTAATGAGCTTGAAAATCAGCTATTAGAATAGCTTGAACACATCCATCTAGCTGTAATGTCATGTATATCATGGTGCATGTATATTTAATGTGGTTTTGTGTCCACTCATGGTGTTGTCAGGGCGTTCCTACGGTTTAGTATTCAGAGAGAGCCTGTATGCCATGGCACGTAACTTATTACACTTACAGAGGGTACAGTGTGGCCACGAGAACAGCGATTATATGATACATAGAGGAAACGAAATATTATACATTCATTATACAATTTGATGAAACAAAATTTATCTATACATATAATAAAATTGTAGAAAAGTGCTGTCTATACATTGAAAATAAAAATAAAAAAAATAGCAGGGGTTATTGTTATGTCGATGTCGAACCCAAAAATGTAATTAACTTTTTTTTTACCTGTTTTTCTGTTCACGCTAATCTCAGAAACGGCTGATCCGAGTTGGATGCGGTTTTCACGAATATATTGTGGTATGCTTCAGTTATGCTTTAGTGTTTGTTTCATGTCAATCGGTTCATAAATAAAAAAGTTATGTAAAAAAACGGTGCTCATAGTCACTATTCCACGAGAACGAAGTCGCGGGCGCAGCTAGTTAGTAATATATATGTATGTGAGAGTTATTAAGTAATAAGTTAATGAAAATATATATTTAGTTACTTTACTATTTGTATATAGTATGGAAAATAATAATTAAAATCATATATACATATGCATAGTAGTTAGTACTATTAAAATAATTTCAAATCTGTCAATCTGTCTGAAACTGTACTCGTTTTATAAAGAGTAAATCACGTAGGAAATATATTTATAAAATGGTTTTTTATTTGAAGCATCAAATAATAAATCATTATTTTGCTCGCTTTTATAAATATGATAGAATAATTATGAAATTAATTTTATTATTAGACAACACATGTTATTTTAATATTTCAATTGTCTATAATTAGAAATATGTTTTTTGTTATATACAATTTTTTTAAGTATATAATAAATAATATTTCATTTATAAATCTTCTATATATATAAAAATGGATTGCTGTTCCTTAGTCTCGCTAAAACTCGAGAACGGCTAAACCGATTTGGCTAATTTTAGTCATGAAATACTCCTGGAAGTCCAGGAAAGGTTTAAAAGGTGAGAAAAATTGGAATAATTGCCGGGAAAACCCTAAAAACAGCCCTTTTCTATTCCCATACAAACGTTTTTTTTGACATTAGATTTGACAACTAACTAATATGTCAATCATTCTGTTTGATTGAAACAGGAAAAACCTGATTATTTATGGCGTCTAAGACGGAATAGAGTTTGCCTGGTCAGCTTCTTCTTCTACCTGGCAATTTTCCAGCTATAGCCAGGGTCTGCCTTACATGTTTGTGAATAGTTTTGGCTATTTGTTTTTACGACCGGCCGCCTGCCTGACATCAAATCAACCCTCTCTTTGGGAATCAACATAAATCAGTGATGTCTAAATACTCTTAGAAAGTACATATGACTCGGAAAAATCACATTGGTACTTGCCCGGGCCAGGATCGAACCCGCGCCCTCGGCAACGAGAGGCGGGCCCTTTAACCACTAGACCACCACTGCCTGGTCAGCTATACCTACACATATTACTCTTGACCAAACTAACGTGGACGAAGTCGCGGGCAAAAACTAGTAGGTAAATAATTAATAAATAAAGACATATGAATTGTAATTCTGTCAATGTCTAAAAAAGTACCCTTCAGATTATGACAACCAGTATAGAATCTATTGGAGTATTATAACAATTTTTAATTTCCTTTCAATAGATTTATAATAATAATTTGTATTTTTTTTTTAAATCTTTTATTTTAATGAAAGCCAATCTCTTGAACATCAGAAAATATTTTCATGAATACGATTTATTCAAATATATTTTAACATAGCTATCACTGATACATATTGAGAAGACAATTTATAAATTTGAGAACAAAATCATCATCATCATCTTATCAGAGCCCACTGCTGAGTAAAGGCCTCTTCTCACATGGAGAAGATTTGAGCATTAATCACCACTACAATAAGATTATTTTGAGAAATTTTTAAGATTTTTCATACGAAAATTGACTTAATTATAAATATATATTATTTATAAAGTTCAGTATATAATGTCTTACTATATAAGTATCTAGGTGATAGTATATTTATTATAAAGTATAAACTCATAGCTCAATAGTCGTTATGAAGGATCGTAACACGGAAATAAGGAGGCTTCATGCCGCGACACGACCTGCCCTGGGGTCACTACAACAGCGGGCAATAATTATTATACAGGGTGGAAACCAGAAGAAAACTAGGAAACTTACTTATATGTATAACCTACTAAAAGACTTGGGACTGTCCAGAACTCATCCCTACTAATATTATAAATGGGAAAGTAACTCTGTCTGTCTGTTACGCATTCACGTCTAAACCACTGAACTGATTTTTATGAAATTTGGTACAGAGATGGAGTTGACCTTGAGAAAGAACATAGGATAGTTTTTATCCCAGACTTCTGAAAGGTTCTCTTGGAAACGCGATATAACAGGACTCCTCGCGGGCGAAGCTGCGGGCGGAAAGCTAGTATCAATTAATTCTTGAAACGTACTTCGAAGGCAGCCCTAGCAGGTTCTTTTCAAATTTTGTTAGGTAGAAAGAGGAGCTTGGACAGTGGAGGGGATTTAAAGCACGTTAGATAGGGGTCCCTTAAACCTACACTTGGGTCGCAAGTCCCAGTCACTGTTGAAGCTCCTCTCACTACAACGATGGACCTGGCATACGCACCGTGAATACATTGAATGATGAGAGGTCTCGTCTCGTCTCATAAGGACTACATATTAAAACTTATAACCTACACCTAAGACTACATGATTGTCCCGATGTTATGATAGCAATACCATTCCATAGCTTGTGTGTATCAGGAATCTTCTGGTTCACACGGCTTGGTGTTTGTTCCGCGGAGTCAGCGGCGTCACTCGTTATATATTTTATACATACAACGATGTCGCCCCGGCGATGTTCATTTATTTCTTAATATGTAGCGCGTACGTAACATGATCATATATATCATAGTAATCATTTATTACATACAATATGTATATTATATATGGAACAATCCATTGCACGTATTAGATATATGTTTGCATGGAAATAGGAAACTGTAGGATATATATATTTAAATATCATTTATTGGTATGACTAAGTATTTTTTGTATATGACAAAAAGAACTAAAACTTCAAAAGATATTGAACATAATAATTAATATGTCAACTTAGATACTTAATAAAAAGGTATACGAGTATACAAATAAAAGTTTGTCTTAAGATGTATCAGTGATATTTTTGTTGCAGCTGTAGCGGGTAAGGAGAGGAAGTCCCCGGAGCAGGAGGAGTCCAGGTCCTCGCCGACACCTGCACCTGGACCTGGACCTGGACCTGTACCTGGACCACACAGCCCACAGAATAATGGAACACCTGGTATAGTCATACATACTAGATTTATAATACAAACAAAGTTGGGTTCTTTTTGTCATGTGAATGGTTTCAAATAAGTAGACGGTCTACTTGATGGGCAGTAGTCACCGTCGCCCATGGACATCCACAACATAAAAAAATTAACATTACCAAGCTTGGTTTTTTTTGGAAGAGTTGGGATTAAGGAAATAGCAGGAATAGGTAGGGACAAGGAAAGGGCAACTAGCTCTCTCACTCATCGGACGAATCTCAGCCATTGAAGTATACCTCATACCGATCTTCTGTGAGAGGGTGGTACTTTCCCGGTCGAGACAGCCCACGTTCGAGCTGTAGTAACTTAACCACAGCTAGGCTCTACCTATAACACTGATACAAATACCTAATATTCTTCATATATAGAATGTCTATACTATATTATATATATCTTTCTCTCATAGGCCTGTCTTCCTCGGAGTCCTCGCCCCCTCCAGACGCGAGGGTCGCTCCAGCGCTGCAGCGCTTGCGTCGCTTCCTGTCAGCGCTGCACACGTTCGCTGCTGACGTCAGCTGTGACGTCGGCGAGAGGGTGCGACAACTGATATTCAACCTCGTGGTGAGTGCTACGACCAGCTACGACGTCTCTACGACGGCTCTACGATTGTGCTACGAAATTATATAATGATGTACATTTTATTATATCGGATTTGTGTATGATATTTTTGATGTGTGTATGTAAGAAAATATATTTATATAATGAATATATGTACATTATAGGTTAGCATGGTCAGTTATAGTAGCTGTGTAGGACAAAAATTAAATATGATAGTAGAAAAATTTATAATTTAAGTTTTTCGTGTAATCATTTAAAAGAAAATTAATATTTTCGAAAACGTCTCTTCATCACCTCTACTGGTGATTACGGGAGATGTAAAGAATCCGAAACGTCAGGATTATGTAGATTTAAAATAAATAAAAAACACAATTTATCAAAAAGCTTAAAAGCTAAGAAAACGATACATATTCCCATCGCTTCGGTTGCTGCAAAGCATGTAGATTTTTCCGAAAATATTAGTTTAATATAAATAAATACTAACGAAAGTTAGATCTCATTATATCTAAGATGAACAGCAAACAACTGACTGGCTTTCTATTAGCTTTTAATATTATTTGTATACATATTATATGTACATATTATACAGTCCAATTTCCTGTAAATTATTAATTTTTACTAACAAATAAACCACTCCACTCACATTTTGAATTCCGTACATACAAAATTAAACCTTTTTGCTATAAACATATAAGTTATATTCCTAATCCTTATTCATTACGTATTTCCACACATTCTAAATTGTACTTTATCACTTATATAAGCAGTGTTAAATTTGGCTTGTTGTAACGACCTGGTTACAAAATTTTACCTTATTGCCTTGAACATACAAGTTATATTCCTCTTCTTTATTCATTACGTATTTTATCACATTCAAAATTGAACTTTATCACTCATACACGTAATGTTCATTGTTGTTTGTTGTAACGAGCTGTAATCTTTATTCATTACGTATTTTCACACATTTAAATTAGAACCTTAACACTTATATAAATAATGTTCAGTTTCGCTTGTCTCACGAGCTGGTTGTCTCCAGGCGGGTGTCATCAGTATAGAGGAGTTCCAGAGCGGCGTGCAGGAGGCCACCAACTATCCTTTAAGAGCCTCCGTGCCCGCCTTCTTGAGGGCGCTGCTGCCGCTGGCTCTGAGGGACCTGCATGCGCGGGCCAGGAGGAATAAACAGGTATAGAAATATATATACTGACTGAATACTTCTTCTACCTAGCAATTTCCCAGCTATAGCCTCTCTGCCTTACATGTTGTGAATAGTTTTGGCTAATTGTTTTTACGATCTGCCTGCCTGATATCAACCCTCTTTGGGATTGCATTAATCAGTGGTATCTAAATACTGTTAGAAAGTACATATGATTCAAAAATCACATCGGTGCTTGTCAGGATTTAACCCGCGTCCTCTTGCATGAGAGGCGGACCCTTTAACCACTAAGCCACCACTGACTTAACATATCATTTGAGGGATTTTAATACGAACCTCACAGAAAGATACCAGCTATGACTTAAATTACTTTCTGAAACATATGTATACACACGTTATTATTCATTATTCTCTGTGTAGAATGCCCACCCATCCTAATTTTGTCCACAGACACCGCTACAGTACATCAGGTCGCATGAACACACGGTGTTAGAGGCTGGTGGAGACGCCGCGGACATCTTCGCTCATGAAGCTGGCAAGAGACGGGCCAGCGACCCGTGAGTACCTACATATCATATCATATACTTATCATATCATAACTATCGCATACTTTAAATATTTTCACGATAAATGTACTTTAGACACAGATTATAATTAAGGAATTACGTGTTTAAATACAAATAAATGATTGACAATATACATATATGTAAATAGAAGATATAGTATGTTCAGTACTAACTAATTAGATGGCATACAGAGATAGTATGTTGACATTATATACAATCTATCTTCTATCTATATTAATAAAGAGGAAAGATTTGTTTGTTTGTTTGTTTGTTTGTAATGAACAGGCTCCTAAACTACTGGACCGATATCAAAAATTCTTTCACCTTTGGAAAGCTACATTATTCCCGAGTAATATAGGCTATATTATATTAAAAAAATTAGGGATCCTTACTAAAACTCCAATAATGTAATCCAAGGTGTAAAAAAATGATCTGAAAAATTTCCTACGTCGCGTGCGCTGCGAAAACTATTGATGATAGGACAAAATCATTTACTACGACTTTACAGAATTCATCATTATCTACAAAAAGTGTCGCGACAGCATATGTCTAAATATTATAGTTACGTCACAGTAAGCGGTTTTTTATTCTAATAATTTAATTTATATGCCGCCGCTTGAAAAGGCTCTTTATTTGTACCTTGGTATTAATCCTTATCAAAATAAATTACTTTATATTCAAGACGGCTTCAATACCTTTTTATAAATCTTTGAATTATTCAGTTCGGACATTTCATTCGGAAGATATCACGAGTTTAAAAATGCAAGTATTAGAAAAAAGTCGCGTGGTTGCCGCTCACTGCGCTCAGCTAGCCAGCATGCGATGTAGGCTCTACGTCACTGGGGTACGAGGGGGGAGTCAATCCCAACTAATATTATAAATGCGAAAGTAACTCTGTCTGTCTGTTACACTTTCACGCATAAACCACTGAACTGATTTTAATGAAATTTGGTACAGAAATAGAGTTGACCTTGAGAAAGGACATAGGATAGTTTTTATCCCAGACTTTTGAAATATATAACCGTACTCCACGCGAGCGAAGCCGCGGGCGGAAAGCTAGTATATTATATATATGTTATGTCAACTGTCACATACACGAGCGAGGTCGCCGGGTCATTTTTGCGGTCCTGTTAGAGGCGTCTCTTGAATGATCAATAACTTGATTTGATGCTGCATCATCCTTACAATTCATATGACGTAGAGTTATCATAAATTAATTAAAAATACCTAGAGGAAGTGTATACATTATACATAACAAGAGTCACAGATGAACATAATACATATATGTACATATTTATAAATAAAATATAAATATATTATATCTTATGTACTCTTTTTTATATCAGATATATATGAGCGATGGTTACGTCGAACTCAGTATAGACGGTTCAAAAAAAATTGAAAAATATTTCTATGCATTTTAATATTACAAAGGGACAGAAATAATATATATAATATATATACATATATAATAGATAATCATATGATTCATTTGGGTCACAATTAATGTATCCTTCGGGAGCAAAAACTTTTGATACGAGGGACGTATTCTGCGTGTGACATACATACACACAATACATACAAACATCATCAGCCTATCAGAGCCCACTGGTGGTGTTTTCAAACTTATAATTTATTATAAGTCCAGGTTTCCTCACGATGTTTTTCTTCATCTGTCAGTGGTGTCTAAATACTCTTATAAAGTACATATGGCTTGGAAAAATCACATTGGTACTTACCAGGATCGAACGCGCGTCCTCATGCATGAGAGGCGGACTTTTAACCACTAAGCCACCACGACATACAAAAAATACATATATATATTTATATATATATAAATAATATATATATATAAATAAAAATACCACCAATTAATTCCTCCACATACAGATATAGTAAAAATGTATTGGAAGTTCCGTATTTGGCATGGGCAGCGTTTAAAGCACACACGCCCCTGATATATGTGACCCGCTGATATATTAGAACACGCGGATTTGGCAACGTAAAACTGTTGGCTGCCCTGCCACGATAATTACTACACTCATTTACCATACACATGACGCGCGACGCAAAACATACGACCACTATACAAAACTATAGAGAAATAACGGTTAACATTGACGTTACTTAAAATATATTTAATATGAAAAATACTTCAAATAAAATGTAACAGTTAAAACTAACTTCGAAATTACATTTAACTTAACTTTAACTGGACGTTCTAAAATAATGTTCTTTTCAATCAATAATGTTTTTAAGTACTATAATTCTTCTTCTTTTACCTGGCTTTAGCTTTAGCCAGGGTCTACCTTACATGTTGTGAATAGTTTTGGCTAATTGTTTTTACGATCCGCCTGCCTGACATCAACCCTCTTTGGGAAAAATACTTTTTAAGTGCTATAATTATTAATTAATATAATATATAATTAGTAAGCACCTGTTTGTTTGACTAGTATCATAACGTGACTATCACTGAGCGCCATTACCAAGTTAAAGACGTGACTTACTGGCTAACGAGCCGGACGCGTGACGACGGAACGGTGTGTGTCATTAACATTTATATATATATAGATATACATATATATATAATATATGTATATAATTCTTTATAAAAAGTACTATAAAATGTTATATCTATATATATAAATGCCTTTTTCCCTTGGTCACGGCATCAGGAGTGAATGGCTGGACCAATTTCACTAATTATTTTTTTTATGTATTTGTTATTATTAGGAGAAGGTTCTTATGTAAGATGTCTTATGTAAATTGGTAGAAAAAAAATAACTATTACAATATTTCACTTTCTATTTGTATAAAATAATGTATCACTGCTAGTAATATTCATGTAGTTACTATTAAAACAAAGAAAAAATTAAAACAAATTTACATGTTCTTTGCAAATATATCGGTCGGAGTTGGTCTGTGGCCGGAGTTGACTGTTGACCTATCTGTCGGGTCAGTTATACTTAATAAAGAAATTAACTTCATTGAGATAAAAATGTAACAGATATATCTTGATTATATGGCGGTACGGAGGTCGCTGGGTCAGCTGGTATTATATAAAAGAAAGTCGTGTTAATTACACTAATTATAACTCTAACGGCTGTATGGGTTTGGATGTAAATTGGTGGAGAGATAGATTAGAACAAAGAAAATGACATATAAGTTGATCACATCCAAAATCTTCTTATCCACTGTCTTTAAGGAGGAGAGTTCACCCGGTCAGCTAACATTTCTTATTCTGAAACTAACGCAAACGAAGTCGCGACTGAAAACTAGTATAAAATAAATGAATAATTAATGAATTTTATTACAAATAAATGACCATTAAATGAGTGTTGTTGTTATGAACGCAGCGTCCAAATAGCATTTATCTTAAAACGCATCTCGTGCCGCTTGTTGGCCGCGCTCCACGGACGGGCCCAGCTCACGAGAGGTAGCGATTTATATATTATAAAAATAAAACACATATAAGTTATAAAACAAGTAAATATGTTATTTGATGAGAAAACTATATGTTTATAAACAACTAGTTTTTACCCGCAACTTCGTCCGTGTTAAATTCGGAATAAGTAATATGTACCTATAGCTGATCGGGCGAAGTATATTCCTCCTTATAAATTTGAAATTTATTAAGCATTTATTTTTCTTTTTTCGATCGAACAGAATTAAATATGCTATGTCCGTTTCCTGGTTCTAATCTATCTCACCACCAATTTCCAGCCAAATCTGTATAGAATAGTTCTTGTGTTATAAATAGTGTAACTAAGAGGACTTTCTTTTATATATACATATATACATAAACTAAATCTGTATTAAATCTCCAAGTATTATTTAATGAATTTATGTAATACTTTTTATATTTCAAACGTTGATATTATAGATATTTTAATATTATATACTTTTTCATTTAGTATAGCGTTTATTTCGGCTCCATAAGTTTATAACTTGTACCACGTCCAAAGCTAGTGTAGTTTATGCGAGCCGTAATAAATAATAAAGGGTTCAAACTCTAAATCAATGTTTATGCCTGGATACGGAAATCAATAACTTCGCTTGGCTTGATAATTAATAGGAGAAATAATTAAAAACACTATATTATATATGTATGTATGATAAATAAGTTTTATAGCTCATAAACTTCAGCAATTTCTTTGTATGTTTGTGTACCGCCCCACACAGCCTGTTTCCGTATAAAGCCTCAATTTTCAATACCGTGATTTAATGTCTTAGACGCTTTGTCTTAACAAAACTTATTTCCAATCGCAGTTGGTCTTTGAAGTGAGATATCTTTGGGTTCTTTGTTAGCTTCGGTTAGTCCATTGACATGGAAATTAAAGTTTTATAAACAAATTTGTTTATAACTTAAGGATTGTTTGAATTTAATAATGTTTATGGGAAATATATTTAATTATCTGTTATATATAAATGTAGTTCGTATTCATTATGTTTCCTTATTACACGTTACATTGTTCTGTTTCTATACCTGTATTCTATAATTGGATTAAGTGTATACTACTATACTATACACTATTGGATTTACTATGTATATCGGAGTAGTGCTACTGTATCGTTTATAAAAGAGAGTGACTTCAGCAGAATTGACATCACCAGTTTTTTTTAATTGCCTCAGGCCTTAAGGCTATTGAAGATTGCCTCGTATTATGACCATTAGTGGAACGCCTTACTTCGAAGAGCTCCGATATCTGCAACCCTCTGAAACCCTGAAAATTGTTTAAAAATTTACTAAAAGCTTACTTATCATCGTACTAATATTATAATTGCGAAAGTTTGAGAGTGTGTTTGTATGTTTGTTACTTCTTCACGCTCAAACGGCTGAACCGATTTTGAGAAAATTTTGTATACAGGAAGCTGACGTCCAGGAATAACATATAGGCTACTTTACATCCCGGAAATCCGCGGGTAACACCGCCCGGCGCAGCTAGTAATTGATAAGTGAATTATTTCAAGGTATAGTAAGTCAGTATTATTTGTTCCAGTTTCTACGAGTCCCACAGTAACGGTTCTCATGACGACTACCCTCCAGCCAAGCGGCCCGTGTTCAATCCGTCCCCGTTCTACCCGCTGCCGTCTAACGCGAGCCTCTTCGACTACCAGCCTTACCACTGTCCCACACAGGAGGCGGGATTCGAGAGGAGAGACGGTGAGGAGAGACGGCAAAAATGATCATTATAACAGTTTAATATGATCAAGCTGGTCTTTGGATATATAAAACTCATTAAAAGTCTTCATAATTCAATGTGATCATTCTATAATCAGGTTTAACCAGGCTTTAACCATTACTATTCGCGAGGAACGATGGCAAAAATGACCAATATACACTTTTATTATGATCAAACTCGTCTTTGGATAGATACTACTGATGAAAAGCCTTCATAATTCAATGTGATCATTCTTCAAGTAGGTGGTATAACCTTTCGAAAGGAACGAAGGCAGAAATGAGCATTATACCGTTTAAAATGATGAGATGATCTTTGGACTTATGAAACTGATAAAATAGGTTCATCCCTACTAATATTACAAATGCGATATCAACTCTGTCTGTCTGTCTGTTACGCTTGCACACAGAAACTACTGAACAGATTTTAAGGAAATTTGGTACAGATATAGAGTTGACTTTCACAAAGAACATAGGATAGTTTTTATCCCAGACTTTTGAAAGGTTCTCTTGGAAATGAGATATAACAGAACTCCACGCGGGCGGAAAGCTATTTATTCAATATGATAATTCTTTGACCAGGTGGTATCACGGTTCGTGATGTATCCACAATGAATGCGTCCCTGGAGCCTCGCCCGGGCCTGGCGAAGACTGATGATGAGTGGAAGAACATCAACACCATGCTGAACTGTATCCTCAGTATGGTGGAGAAGACTAAACGAGCGCTGGCCATACTACAGCAGAGAGGTAGGACACTATAGAACACTTAGGAAACTACGATCATAACTACTTAAATTTTTATGAGACTTCATTTTCTTCAAATATTTTCATAAAAATAAGACTATTTTTTTAAAACTACATACTCCGGACGTTTATGTTTGTTTCCAGCAACGCGTAATAATCCGAATATATTAGTTTCATTTAAATTAATTACTATCGCCAAAGACTTAGATCGCATTAAGTCCATCAAAGTTCTTTATTCACAAATCACGATATACAGTTAATAGTACTGGCAGACTTAGACTCAAAACTTAATTTATTCAGTATTCTGTTTCTGAATTATCGTTTCTTCGTCTGTCCAGGAGTTGAACCTCCGGAGAGTTCAGATATAAAGCGCGCGGCGAGTGAGATCATGTGTGCGGCCGTGAGGCAGACCGAGGAGAGGGTGGCGGAGGTCAGGAGGAGGGCCGAGGACGCTGTGAACCAGGTACTAGGAGTGGGGGGAGGGGGCACGAGAGTAGGTCTCCTACAGTACAGGAGATAAGCGGCTTTGCTTAGAGATACGACTTAACAATTGTACGTCGTCATCAGCCTATCAGAGCCCACTGCTGAGTCTCTTCTCACATGGAGAAGGTTTGAGTATTAATCACCACGCTTGCTCGAGACGGGTTGATGATTTCAAACTTATAATTGTGAAATTATAACAGGTTTCCTCACGACGTTTTCCTTCACCGTATGTTATTAATGTCTAAATACTCTCAGAAAGTACACATGACTCCGAAAAATCACATTGGTACTTGCCAGGTTTGAACCGGCGCCCTTATGCATGAGAGACTGACCTTTAACCACTAAGCCACAACTGACTATCTTTGTACTAGCATCTTGTATACTACAACTTATGATGTTTTTAACGTTAAATACTGATCTGAAAATTGCATGGCAATTCTTTTTTGATATAAAATAATATGTTTCCATAATACGTTATCTAGTATAGCAACTGGGACGTCATATTCTAGAGGTACCAGATTCGATTCCTGATCGTGACGATGAATTTTAATTCAAGTATCAGTAGCAACATCTGTATGACATGATCTTTTCATCACTGAAGGTCTGTGCAGGTGTTCATGATGATTATATTATCCAGGTGAAGCGCCAGGCCCTGGTGGAGCTCCAGCGTGCTGTGGGCGCCGCAGAGACCAAAGCCCTGGAATTGGAGAGGGCCCGACACTCACCGCCACCTGGACGGGACCTCAGCCCTGGGGCCGCGCATAGTGTGAGACATACACACATACACACACACACAAACACACATGAATTAATGAGACACTAGACTTTATTCGACTCTAACCTGAACTTTTATACTACAAGTGAACCCGTACATGTCTATATTTTCTTAGTACACACTGACTTCACCTCAATGTATCTGTCTCTTTCTGACGCTCTGAATTATATATAGCTATCTCTCTCTTCACTTTTGGACTTTCCACAAAAACAAATAGTTTGTTAGTGTATGTATATGTATATGATGTGTGTTGTGTGTCAGTGTTGTTGGAACTGTGGGCGCGCGGCGCAGGAGACGTGCTCGGGCTGCGGGGCCGCGAGGTACTGCGGGGCCTTCTGTCAGCACAGGGACTGGGAGAACCACCACCAGGTACACGCACGCACACACACACATATACTACAATAAAGACTCCAGTGTCCTTCACTGTTGTAATAGTTAAATATCGGAATAATACCATAAACTAAGTCATTAAAAGAATATAGAATATAATATTCATCTACACGATAGGTATTTGAACCGGCGACTGCTTGTATATAGCGTTTCAGCGACTTTACCATCTAAGCTATCGTGTCTTGACTCACATCTGTGTTTTAATCAATGTATATTTAATTTTCATATAGAGACGGATGTGATGTTTTTAAGATTTTCTTACTAAGATAATTGTTTTGTAACTCTTCCAGTTTTTAAGAAGCGTTTAATCATTTATTCCATTCCATGTTAAGGTGTGCAGCGGTCGGGACACGAAGCCCTCATCGATGGTCCGTTCCTCCCCTCCCTCCACACAGCCCATCCTCCCCAAACCCCTGACTCGCTCCTCGACCCCCATCGTGACCCCCATCGTAACCCCAGCAGCGACCCCCAACCCCACAGCCGACAGACCCGCGGCCGCAAAGAAATGACGCAACGGAAACTTTTTGGGCAGCACGATCACGGTGCCCAGAAAAGTTAGAAGATAAACTGTCACAAGCTGCGCACGCGCCGCGAGTGACGCCGAGTGACAAACATATAGACAGTAGAGTGGGGCGTCGATAAGGATTACCAAATAAATAAACAAAGCAACTTCGACTAATTTATTACAAATGTACTACGCTTCGTGCCATACGATCATGTTTTATTGTAGTATATAATATATAATTATTATTAATTATCTTGTAAATAATGTTTCCAATGATTCCTGCACTCGTCATTAATTCCTCTCGTGCAATATTAAACTTAATATAATTTTTAATTACGCGAATTTAATAATGTTAAGTGACGTTTATGTAGATGATGGATGCATTCCTTTGGTGTCTAGATCGTGGAATAAATGTAATGATTATGATGTGTGACCTTTCATTGACCTATGACCCATATATATGATACGTTTTAACTGGGAGCAATACCTTAAAATACATATATGTAGTAAGTTACAGCAAATAATACTACTAAAATCTTATAACACATTAAAATGATATTAAATATTACATCTTAATAACTCGATTAATAAAATAAAGAAGAAATATTACGTATGTCAAGTTAAAATATATAAAATATTTTGTTGACATAATACTATATGATTATTTTTATTTGTGTGAGAACATGTTCAATGAACTGAAACACTGATAAGTTGCATTAAAGTTTTAATGAGTGACATACAAACATACATATTAATATTCTTTAATTTAAGCAAAACTATATATAGTCGTATAAACCTATTTACGTGATTAATAAGTTTCTTAAAGTTTAAGGTGTCACTTAAATAACCATCTGCGTAGCCTCACACTTGTGTAAGTACCTTACCATAATGAGTGTCGGTTGGTATAAATAGAGGCGAGAGTGCAGGTTAGAAGGAGTCTCGCTCATAGATAATACACTATATTAGAAACATGTCATCAGCCTATCAGAGCCCACTGCTGAGCAAGGCCTCTTTCTGACGTCATGGAGAAGATTTAAGCATTAATCACCACGCTTGCTCGAGACGGGTTGGTGATTTCAAACTTATAATTGTGAAATTATAAGTCCAGGTTTCCTCACGATGTTTTCCTTCACCGTATTTCAGTGATGTCTAAATACTCTCAGAAAGTACATATGACTCCGAATAATCACATTGGTACTTGCCAGGTTTGAACCCGCGCCCTCGGCAACGAGAGGCGGGCCCTTTTACCACTAGGCCACCACTGACTATATTAGAAATATAATATTATTAATTAGAAATATAGTACATATATTAGAAATATTGGTCTCGCTCGAGCCGTCGCAGCGGTCAAAAGATCTACGAGGTGTGCTTCAATAGCCTTTCAGGGTGATGAGTACCAATAATAATAATCAAAGCGTTTATGACGTTTTTAAAAATTACGAGAGGGACACTAAATCCGTCATATTTTTTGTTATGGATTTACCAGTGTCACATGGAAACACATTCTAATTAACTCATAATCCGTAAGCATTTATGAATGAAGCTGCAGGCAGAAACTACTAATTAAAATAAACTTCTAAGACTGATTACAATTAAAGCTTAAAGGGATTTCTTACTTAACAATTGAGACTTAATAATTGAGAATTTCAGAATTATATTAAAAACATACATCACAGAAAAATTTAACGTAACTAATTAATATAATACATTTATCCTTAAAATAAAATAGAGATAACCTACAACCTAAATATTTTACAAGATTGAGAACTCTCATTAAAATTATATTATACTAACTTTCCGCCTGCAGCTTCGCCCACGTGGAGTTCGGTTAGATCGCGTTTCCAAGAGAACCTTTCAAAAGTCTGGGATAAAAACTAAATTTCATTAAAATCAGTTGAGAGGTTTAGTCGTGAAAGCGTAACAGACAGACAGACAGAGTTACTTTCGCATTTATAATATTAGTAGGGATTAAACAATATTGAGTGCAAGCCCTGTCGCTGACAGATCCGGGGTACACCGACATAGCGGCCGATGGCTTTCGCAGTGGTTTTAGTGAGTAGGGGCCTGCCCAGGCCGAGCCTCACACATCCCTTCCGGCCCCACCAAGGTCGGTTGGACGGCTCGTAAAAAGAGTTTCCACTACGTCATCAAAAAAAAAAAAAAATATTGAGTGCAAGAACGACTTAAATCGTTTACGTACGATTGAAATAAAACATAAGATTTGTTTCCATCATGTAAGTATAATATCTTATCTTTGAAAACAATAACAATTAGTATTACAATATGAAAAAATACTGTAAAGAAATAAGTACATACATTAACTTAATTTATTATATCTTTGGCGAAGATTAGGTACTAGTGAGGAGATGAGCTAAGCTTAGAAAGAAGGAGATAACTACCGAATACAAAGATATTCTAACAATTTCTTAGATACTACTTATATATATTAAGTATTTCTTATTATTTTTATGATTTCAAGTCAACACTACAATACAATATAAATCTAAATGGATAATATGAAATAAATTTCAATCTAGCAAAATATTAAATCATCTTATTTTTAACCCATTTAGACCTACCGTCTCACATACGATACACCAAAAGTAATAAATTATTTTGAAGTTCCGTCGATAAGAATTTGTTTTTATTTGGAACCAATGTGAAGTGCAAGGTCTGTGCAACATTCCTAGAAGAGTTTATTTGTTATAGTAGAATACACAAGTTGACTACATACATGGTTTGTTAGTGATTTGTGCATTGTGATCATATGATGGTATCAAAACGGTAAGAAATGCAATATTTTTTTAAATTATCTCATATTTATAACAATTTATAATTAGAATACAAGTTAAAGCGTAAATTGAGTAATTTAGTTTTATTATTTCTTGGAAATTTTTGCATGCTTTTTACTCGTAAACTATAGTGTATCGTATTTGATACATTAGGCTAATACGCACAATATATTTCTCATTTCAGACTTACATTAAATGAAATTGTCATTCTGTTAGAAGATGAAATCGAAAATAGTCTCACAGAAAATGATGTTTATTTACTACCACCTGAAAATGCAAACGGGTTGTTGACTGATGAAGATTTTGGAGACGAAGATAACGTCGAAATGAACAACCTACCACCGAGCTTGTTGAGAACGAATGCTGAGTTGCATGGATCAAATTCAGAAGTTTCTAAAAGTCAACAATCAGGTCTTGGAGTTGAAGTAGATCAAGAGCCAGATTTCTGCGAACCATTATGCTAAAGATCCAAAAAGTACAATTGGAGAAAAAAAATCTTCACCGAAGCAAAACCGACATGGAAATCTATGTTCCATGTTCCTAATCAAAGGTCGCCTATCTAATGGTTTTCTTTATTTTTTTCAGAAGATCTTTATCTATTACTCTCTACTGCGACTAATAAATACTTAGGAAGGAAAAATCTTCCCATTGATATGAAAATGGAAGAAATGAAGTGTACTATAGGCGTTTTGTTAGTAAGCGGCTACTGTCAAGTAAATAGAAGACGTATGTACTTGGAAAACACACCTGATACAAAAAATGATCTGATTGTTGATGTATTGATCTTTCAGACAAAACATATCATCTCTTCGGACAAGTATTTGCTGTAAGAAGTGGTATATGCCACTCATTCTGCATTGTATAGACATGTCACTTCAGAACGCCTGGCTACTATACAAATATAATGGTAGTAATGTCGATATGCTGACTTTCAGGCGTGGCGTAGCTATCGCACTTATAGAATCAAATACCCTTGGAAGTAAACCAGGCCCTAGCAGACCATCCTCACTAACCATGGATACGAGGTTTGATGAAAAGGGTCATTACGTCATCAAACAACCACAGAATAAACGAACAAGATGTGGCTTGTGTCATCGATCATGTCCTGCAAGATGTGTAAAGTGCAATATTGGACTTCATATTGATAGTTTTCTTACCTATCGTACCAAAAAATAATAGTGTATATTTTTTGTCAATAAATACTTTTTGCCTTAGATACTGGAATTTATGCTTTTATATAAGCCTACTGTATCACATAGGATACGGCCCATCTCAGACCTCCTATGGAATCGATTTTTTTTTTAATATTTTTTTCATTAATAACAATGTTCAATGACACGATAAAAATAGAAAAAGTACATATTTTTCGAAAAAAATAGTTTCCGGTCTAAATGGGTTAATATTTTAATTACCGTAAAGCCGGGACTTTGTGAATTTTATAATAAATATTAATAGTCCAGGATCCATGGCTCCATTTTGAACTTGAGCAGCTTCGTTTCATTGAGACACCCAACTTTTTCCATTGCGATAATTCTCGATTATGGTAGGTAACCTAGCTAGCAGAGATAAATTATGTTTATTTGATAATTTTAATTAAACTAAAATTATTACTAACTGGATTTTTATGTTAAATCGTATTTTGTTAAATCTTACGATAATCATCTTAATTATACGAAAAAAAATGTCCTACAAAATATATGGTTTGATCAAAGAATCCCCCTCCTTTCAACATGTATAGATAACGCAGTCATCACATAAGTAATTTATAACCAGCTAAAGAAATTAATTCTTTACCAAATTTTAAGTATTTAAAAGAAGAAATTCAAGTCATTATTAATTTAATCACGAGTAATAAAAAATGTATTTAAACGTCATTCTTTCGTAGGGTAAAAAAGAGACCTTTTAGTATTCTAAAAAAAATATAATTTTCAAGAGGCCTTTCTTCAACTCTTACAAATGGAAAATACGGCACTAACAACATCGAAAAAGGTCAAATTATTGAACAGTATGTTTGTAGAATGTAATCATTAAAAACAAAATAATAATATCAGCAAAAGGCGGTATGAGTTATTTGAATCAAAAAAAGAAAATAAAGAAATTTTAATACAAACAAACGAAGGACATGATGCTTCTAGTTAGTAATCACCAAAACAAGAATTGTTGCAACAAATTAAAAGAACTACTTTCATCTTCGGTGGAGGCAAAGGCTCTC